TTCATCTGCTGGCACTCGGGGACACTAACGTCTGTGTCCGGCTGTCCTCTTTGGCTTCACTGGTAGCAAGGATGGGCAACGTATTGCTCTGAAGTGCAGACATAGGACATTTTCATCTTCACCACTGTCTGAATCTGGTGTTGTAACTTCACTCTCTTGGAGCCTCAGGATCTCACAAACTGCTTCTGGTAATTCCTTCCATTTTACCATCTTTAGGGAAATTGCTTCTGCTTCGCGTAGTACATCTTCCACATCAATTTTCATGGACAATTCATTGATATGCTTAAGTATTTCACTGAAGGCATAATGTTTGTTCTGTTTTTTGTTTGAAGAGAACCTTTAAAAAAAAAAAACAGGTTTCAGGTTTAAGTAACTTGAGACAGGATCTCCCTGCAGCCCCAGCTATCCTTGAACTCACAGAGATCTGCCTGCCTCTGCCTCCCCAGTGCTGGGATTAAAGGCGTGTGTCACCATATCCGGCAGGATGTTTTTTTTTAAAGAATTTATTCTTATGAGTGTACTGCCTGAATGTATATATGTGGACTCATGTCGGGCAGTGCCCATGGTCAGAAGAGGTTGTTAGATCCCCCCAGTAGAGGTCAGAAGAGATTGCTGGATCCCCTGGAACTAGAGTTACGTATAGTTGTTAGCCACCATGTACTTGCTAGGAACCGAACCCAGGTCCTCTGTAAGAGTAGCCAGTGCTCTTAGCTGCTGAGCCATCTCTCCAGTCCCCAGGATATTCTTGAGGTTGAAAAGACTTAGAACAGATTTTATTCTAGAGAATAACTTCTTGAGTTCTTTCAGTGTGGATGGAGTAGGCCTCTGTGCATGTTGAGAGGGTATTAGCAAACATCAGAAGATATTTGTATTCTGACAAAGAACAATTTGAATAAAATCTGCCAATCTTTTAAAAAAATTTTTAAATTTATTTTTATATTTTTTGAGACAGAGTCTCACTCCTTGCTTGCCTGAAACTCATGGAGATCTACCTGCCTCTGCCTCCCAAGTGCTGGGATTTCACCACACTAGGCTTTTATTATTATTATTATTATTATTATTAT